CCTTCAAAACTCTTGCTGATATGTTTTTTCAAACTATGTTCATAATGTGATTTTTTTTTAATTAGAAAAGAAGGAGGTTTTCATATTTATTCAAGCTAAGAGGATGTTCGTATAAAAAGATAGAGTTGGTCAATGCTTTTTACTATTTTCTAATATTCTTGCACCAGGTTTTTAAAAGGCTGCTCTGTATCCTCATTTTGCTCATTTCCTAGAGTCTTCAGAGAAGTCTGTGATTATTATTTAAGGATCGTGGTGATTCCCTTCACTGCATGGGGGGAAAAAAAGCAAATCAGGGCTCTTATCCTGTGTTTATAACAAGTCTATTACCATAGTAATGCCTGTGATGTCACAAGCGGTACACCGAGGGCCAGAGGCTGTCTCGGAGTGGGGAAGGGCAGCTTAGCCTTGGAAGATGGACACAAACATGTGAGGCCAAAGCAAGGTCAATACTGTGGTGATCATTAAAACACAAGGAGCTCCCTTTCTCCAGAGGAAAGGGGGACAGGGCCAGAACAGTTCCTCAGGCCCAGAAGTAAGCTACACCCACACTTCTGTACGCAGCTGTGTAAAAGGAGTGGAAATCCAAGGAAATGCAGTGTCACTATGTTCCCAATCTCAAGTATTCCCCCGGGCCCACTGACTGCCAAAACATGGACTGGATCCCGTAGTGAGTATGCCTGAGCACATGAAACACTCCCGGGAACCAGTGTCTAACCAGACAGAGCCCTCTGTTACCCAAAAAGCGAAGTGATTGCCTCATGTTGGCAAGCACTTGAAAACCTAGCTAGCATAGATCCACAGAGTCTCAGAGTTAGAGAAACTTCCCAAATAGGTGTGGGCTTTTTAAATTAGCCTTTTGCAGGAAGAAGCTATATATCCTGTCACTGGGGTATCTGGAAGTAGTATATGAAAAAACATTATTATTCTGATACAGTCTGGTTAAAGTTTGTCGAACAGACTGAAAAGGCAGCATGTATTAAAAAGAACAATGGATGGGGCCGGGGATTTAGCCCAGCGGTTCAGTGGCCTGCCTTGCAAGCGCAATGACCCGAGTTCGATCCCCGGCACCAAAAAAATAAATAAATAAAAAAGAATAATGGACTAGGAGCCAGAAGACCTAGTAGTAGTGTTGGCTCAAATGGTTAGAAGCTACATGACTGGGAGAAAGCTATGTAAAATGTTTGAGCTTCAATTCTTTATTTAATGGTATCTGACATACTATTTTTCAGAGTTATTATAAATATAAAATAAAATAAAGAATATGGATGAGTTTCACAAACTATAAAGGATTTAATACAAACATAAGGCATTCTTATTAGCATTTTCACATAGTTTATAGTATGAAAAGAAGCCGGGGATTTAGCTCAGTGGTTCCACAGCCTGCCTCACAAGTGCAAGGATCCGAGTTTGATCCCCAATACCAAAAAAAAAAAAAAAAA